ATACACTGAGAGAAAATTGCTGCGATTAGGCGGCCATTGAACGTGTTTAATAATTTATTCTAATTGCGAAATTGTTTAATTTGTGCCACGCTTTATTTTAAATTTATGACAAATGAGTTTTTAATAATAATCTGCTTGAATTGGGTTTAAATAATATATAATTGGCTTTTGGGCGTTTAGCTAGATTTTGTTTGACACGATAGATGAATGGAAAATAGAATTAATTTTAAATAAATCGCAGACTATTTATATATACTTAAGATTATTTTTATAATATATTGAGGATATTTTTTTTTTTTTTAAATATAATTGAATTCTTTTGGAAGCTATATAAAATTGAGCCCTTCTTCAATTTAACATTTTGCATTTCCTATATTTATATATATATTTTTTAAGCCATATAAATTGTATGGCTTATCGAATTTGCTGGGAATATCTTTACGACTAAAGAAGTCACTTGTAGAATCCAATCATTTAAATATTTCTGATTTTACATTTCACATTTTATATTTCGTAGTAAATAAAACTTCAAATCATGCAAAGCTTTCAATTGTTTAATTAATCTATTAAAAATCTATTCAATTTGAAAGCTAATTGATTTTTATGCATGTGAATCAACGATTTGCAATTAGTATTACTCACGCTTTGAAATGACGTTAAATTCCAATTGGATAATTGTTGATTGTTAAATGTAAACCGAATTCCAACTTCTAATTTGCAGAAATTAGTATTTAGTATATATCAACTAAAGTTCTCTCTTAAGGGAAATGCTTCGCCGTAAATGTTTAAGTAAATTTGTTGATATCCGCATATTGCGGAACTGTTAAGCGAAATTGCTCTCAAAGGCAATACGTAAATTGTGAAAATATTTGAATGTAAACAATAGACTACAGTGATATCGCTAGCCATACAAGGGAAAGAGCCAAGTAAATACGAAGATGAAGCAGTAGCTGAAACACAGATGTGGAGCGTGAACAGATTTAGTTTAAGTGAAATTTCCAAGGCAAATCTGGGAAGTGAATGCCAGCTGCAGTTCCTGCCCAGATCAGTCTATACGTAAGCCTCATGCCACGCTAACTTCGCCAGCTTTTCCACATATGACGGCAGTGAAAATGTCTTCAGACACTTAACTTTGATGACATAAATTTGGCATGCGATTTAGGCAACTTTTGTGCTGCTATAATTTGCCAACATATAAAAAGGCATTTCTTGTCCCTCCGCAGTATAGCCCAAAATTAAAGCAGAACAATAGAATTGCTGCCCTGACATTATTCGAGTCAATTAGGCTGCGCTGTCGCCTCGATTGGCGGCAGTCAGTGAACCCAGAAATTTTGGTAAAAGTTTTCGCTTCAGTCTTTATATTTGGCAACAAATTTCGAGCACGCAATAAATAAACGAAACAGATTTTTTATGCACACAACCAAAGCTGAAATGAAGCTATATGAAGTCAAGGTATATGGTATATACATATATATCTTGGGGCTCATATTTCGCTCTTGTCTCTCGAGTCTCGCAAAATTTGAATAATTTGTGCATTAATTGTTATGAAAATGCGAGCTATAGGGGGCTGGGGGAGTTGGGGGCTGGATTGAGAAGCTCTTCGACAGTTGCATGTCAGCTGAACATAACGGTAGTTCTCCATTTATATATTTATTATTTTTTTAGTTATTATTGAAACTAAATGCTGATTGGGTTTTGTTCTGGTGATGGTTTTGGCCTGAATGTGTCTGGTTGGAATTTGGGTCTATTTGTCGATTTGTCGAAAAGTTCAAGGCTGCAATGAGTGAAAATTGATTTGTTCTGTTCTCTATTCAGGCACCAAGAAAATGGAATACAAGACCCGGCAGTGGCACGAGAACTGCTTCTGCTGCTGCGTCTGCAAGATGGCCATTGGCACCAAGTCGTTTATACCGCGCGAGCAGGAGATCTATTGCGCCGGCTGCTACGAGGAGAAGTTTGCCACGCGCTGCATCAAGTGCAACAAGGTGAGCAAGGAGAGAGTGAGAGAGCTACTCAGAGAGAGTTACTAATTGATCTGCTTCTCATTGGCTTGACAGGTCATCACTTCGGGTGGCGTGACCTATAAGAATGAGCCGTGGCATCGCGAGTGCTTCACTTGCACCCACTGCAACATCACGTTGGCCGGGCAGCGCTTCACTAGCCGTGACGAGAAGCCCTACTGTGCCGAGTGCTTCGGCGAGCTGTTTGCCAAGCGTTGCACCTCGTGTGTGAAGCCCATAACAGGTGAGCAGCAGCACGGAAGTCTTATAAGGCAGATAGCTAACTCTCCCTCTTTCCCTCTCTCTTTCCCTAGGCATTGGCGGCACTCGCTTCATTTCGTTTGAGGATCGTCACTGGCATCACGATTGCTTCGTCTGTGCCAGCTGCAAGGCCAGCTTGGTGGGACGCGGCTTCATCACCGACGGACCCGACATCCTGTGCCCCGACTGTGCCAAGCAGAAGTTGATGTAAAGCTCGAACGCCCCCTGCCCCTCCCACTCCAATCAAATCAAATTCACATGGATCAAAAACTGGGGCCAAGTGCCAGCGATAATTAGCCATAAAAAAAGCAAATCGAGAAAAATATGGATCAAAAATCAGAATATGTATTAATCTATATATACACATATATATATATATATCAGTATATATATATATATATATGCAAACAAAATAATGCCTTACACTTACACATCTATTAGATATCGAAAATTAGCTAAAACAACAAAAAAGGGAATGAAAATCCTAAAACAAAGCAAAACTTTTTATGTAAAATTTGAATTCTTAGCTATGAGAGAAATGTTGAAACTATTTAGAGCTATAGCAGCAACACTTGATATTTGATATTACTTTTGTGCTTTATTTGTCGAATTGTATAAAAATTATGAAATATATAATTATTTATTATTTGTAATTGCATTTGAGCGCGCGACAAACCGAAAACCGAAAAACAGAAAAGTAAAGCAAAACACAAACAATGGAAATATGTACTTGTAACTATTGTATGTATATGTTTATTTATTTATTTTAAGTTCTTTTAACACACAAACACACACAGACAGACAGACAGAGATTGCAAGAGAGTGAGTGAGAAAGAGGAAGAGAGAAAGAGAAATGCGTGCAAAAGTTTCCTAACAGCGGGTTTTTTCTTCAGTTAAATACTTACTTATTAAAACACAGTTTTAAATATCTTTTATTTGTTATTAAACGAAAAATAGAAACCATATTTAAACACACAATAGCAATTGAATTGTTTAGTTTGTTTTTTAATTTTAACTTTATGTTTTTCTTCTATTTCAATGGAGCACAAAGCGCAAAACTAAATAAAATACCCAAATACACACATAATTATTTTACAAATGCCAACAAAATGTCAATGTCCTTAACTATTTAATGAAATTAAAGCTAAATAAATTAATAATATTAAAAATGTGTTTTTAATTGTAGATTTGAAAGAATTTACTTAATTACTAAATTAATTCTGAATTTTAAATGTTATTCGTTTTACCAACCACGAATCGGCCAAATTTTAACGTGTAATTTAAATTCAAAACTGAAAATACGTTAACAGCTCTTACGTTACGTATGCGACCAGCGCAATATAGAGCACTGAAAACGCATTATGAGTCAACGCAAATATGAGTCAGCAAGACTGTAAACGCACTGCAAAATGTTGCTCTTCACTGTGAATGGCAAATGAACAAAACAATAACAGATTCATGATGAGCAATAATAACACACCGGATTTAAAAATAATACTAGAGTTCAGGTAAGATAGAATGCCATAAATATTTAGCAATACTAAAGAAATTTGTGTCTTCAGTGCTGGCGCAGAGCTGCTCTTTGGCAATATCAAACGACGTGAAATCTGCTTGGATGGCACGCAAAAATGTGAGCATGCTTAGAATTTGCTTCTCTTTTGGTGGAGTTAAAAGATTAATTGCAGGGACCATTGCCAATTTGCTTAAGTGGATGCATGCAAACATTTTAACGGAGCGGCCAGAGCTATTCATACAAGGAGACACAGTGTAAGGAGAGAATGCAGGAGCAACACGTGCAGTTGTAATAAATATGTATATGTATTTCTGTTCCAGGCGGCCTGGCATATTAGTGCTGATAAATGATACAGACTGGGAGCTGCTGGTAAGTGATATTTAAATTATTATTTACATTCTATTTATTGTTTTTAATTAGGGTGAGCTGGAGTACGAATTAAAGGCGAACGATAATGTGTTATTTATATCCACACTGCACGGCGGCTAACACTGATCGCTGTTAAGTAACAGAGACTGTCATGTTAACTAGTAGACGTAAAGAGTTTTCTATTAAAAACAAAAAGTAAATAAAAATATTAAAAATAACTTTAAAGTTTAAACAAATCAGAATTACGTCCCTTTGACAAAAATGACAAAGGCCCACACGATGGTTCGGGAAGTAAAGTTTTCTTCATTTCAGTCTAGAACTTAGTCATTTAGCTCGTATATAAACCAGTGTTGGCCAGAATAAGCAGTTGGGAATTACTGCGCAACATGCGTAGCAGATATTTTAAATTTTAGAATTTCTAATTGTTCACATTCTAATAAGATTAATGAGCACATGCTGGTAGCCTTAAAACTTTTTTCTTTTTTTGTATATTTCGAAGCAACATTTATTCAATTCTTTGCTTAGATGTGTATACAATTTTCATATATTAAAAGATATGCAATTATTTATGTATATTTTGTTTTCCTTTTACGATAAATTAAAGATAGGCACTTAATTTACATATATTAACTAACTGTACGTTATGAATTTCGTTTTCGATATATTTTTCTTTTCTTCTATTTTTTTTTTCGTTTTCCTTTTCGGCTGGCACTTTGTGGTATGCCTCTCGTTTTGTGTATGTGTGTGTGTGGGTTTAGGTTGATTAAGAGCTATGAAATATATTTCGACATTGACACATTGAATTCAATAATTTCAAATTTTCTATATGAAGATTAGAAAAGAAAAAACAAAAAAACAAAGAGGAAAACTGCATCCAGGGCAAATTATAATAATACAATAGGATGAAAATTGATGACAAAAAATTGTAACGCAACTAAAATCAAATAAATAATAAATAACAAAAATTATAATAAGTATGCATGCATATATATGTATGTATGTTTGTATGTATGTTCGTATATGATAATTTGAATCTGATGAAACCGTTTCGCTAAAGCTATGTATACTCTCTGTGCCTCTGCCTCTCCCCCTCGCTCTATCGCTCTCTCGGGCATCCTTCGGCTTAGAGGAAGGCTTCACTTGTTGCTCTCGGGCGGACTCGCTGACTCAGCTGCGTGGGCGTACGACTTGTAGCGACGCAGTATAACGGTCGAGGTGCTCGTGTTCGTGCTGGAACTGGCGCTGGCCAGGCTGGTGGACCAGCTGCCTCGGTTGCCCGACAGCTGCTCGGCGGCCAAGTGGGCATGCTCCTGATCCGGCGTTATGGACATATCGGACAGTATGCCGCTCTCTAGATATATAGAGTATAGGAAGAGTGTGGGTTATGCAGGTATATCATTTCTCTCTCTCTTTCCAGCAATATACATAGAGCATGCAGCACAACTAGTTGTTAGGTGAGCGGGAGGTGTGTGTGAGGTGGGGTCTATATACATATATACAGTTGAGTAATACTGGGGAGTGGTGTGTGTTGGTGTGTGAGTTTTTATATACATAGGGTTTCGGAAACATTAAACAAACAACAACAAGGCAACTAAAAGGAACCATTGACATCTAGAAGAAGTAGCACAATTCAAGCTCTATACCCATGGACAGCTGGCTGACGATTGTCGTCGATCGTTTGTGGTGTCGCTTGCTGCTGCGGCTCGAGCCGCTGCTCGTGAGCGTGGGCGTGGCCTGGCCTCTGGCCACTGCTGAGCTATCCTGCTGCTCGCTGCTGCTGCTCAGCTTCAGCGCCTGCGTCTCATTGATCAGCTCCAAGGTGGCCGGACTGCTGTTGTTGTTGCTATTGCTCGAGCAATGCTTGCTGAAGCTCAGATTGAGGCTGTGTCTTCCCGTCTCATGCGCGGCATGGCCGGAGGAGCAGCCGCCGCTGATGGAGCTGCTGCTCGTGGTGCTGGTGCCGCTGGAGAGCGAGCTCTCCGAGATTAGCGAGTTGGGACGACGCATGCTGCCCTTGCCAGGCTCCGTATGACGCAGCTTGGGCGCTATAAGGATTCGGGTTAGGAGCTGCTTTTCCGGCTTAGCCTCGGACTTACTCTTGTTCAGCTGCGTGAGCGGTATGGAACGGTCGCTGATCTGATTGTTGCTCGGGCGTATGTCCAGGCAGGGTTTGCTGCCAATGCCCATGGAAGACATCTCTGCCAGGCGAATGTCTGCAATGATATTGATTAGATATCAAGAAAGCAGTTCGGCCTGATGCACTCACCTCGATTTCGTTTCGCCTGCTTCCAGAGCAGCTTCGATATCTCCTCGGTCCAGGCATTCTTAATGTCCTCCGACATGCACTGCAGCACCCAGGTGTCATCCGGCTTGCGTTTCCTAAACCAGATCTCAAACTTGGTCGTCGAGTCGCCCGTATGCGCTGTCAAACCAATATCTGAGGTCTTGATGCTGTTCTTGTAGATGTAAATGTCCAAGTTCTGCAAAGGAGGAGGAGGAGGAGGAGGAGGTGAGTTTAAGCTGAGGCCTGGACTGCAGTATTGCTGATCGAGCTTACCTTGTGGTCGGGAAAACGTCGAGCCTTGCTGAACAGCACCAGCTCCTCAAAGAGAAACACCTGTCGCAGCGTCTTCTTGCCGCCGCGCCCCTGCCAGACGAGAAACTCGTTCTGTCGCAGCAATCGTCCCTGCTCCTTCACATTGACGTCGCAGTCTCTCAGCGAGTCCATGGCCAGCAGATCGTTGCCGTGTCGCAGCTGGAATTTGACCATTTCCTCGGCACGCTGCAGCTCCTCCACATCGGCGGCAATCTCTTGCAGCGCGGCGCCCTCCACGCCCTTGACCGCCTTGACCAGCTGCTGCAGCAGCAGCGCATACTTGCCCATGCGCTGGACAGGCTTCAGCAAGTAGGAGGCCAGGTCCATCTTATCCTGCAGCTGCATCTGCTTCGGCTTGAAGAACGAGCTGCCATATTCACTGAGCAGCGTATCGCTCTTAGGCTTGTTCTTATTGTACAGCGCGTACAAATAGAATTTGGACTCCATTTCCAGGAAGGCGGCGCCCACCTTGAGCGGATTGCGCTCGTAGCGCTCCAGCTCGCCAAGGAAGTGCGAGTTGTGGAACTCGAAGATCTTCTCAATGTTGCCAAAGATCACGTTCCGCTGGCCTCGCAGTGGCTGTGGAATATCCTCGCGCAACAGCTCATCGATATAGTTCTCGATTACGTAGTACAAGGAGCGCACGTAGTCGCGTTCGGTACCAATCATTTCGCGCATGATCAATAGAAGCGTTCTGTGGGGATGTGAGAAAGAGGGAGAGATGAGAAAGGGGAGAATAAAAGAAAAGCCTAGGTAGGGGAATAAGATGGAGAAAAATTCCCTCAGATCCAAAATAGATTCCCAGGGTTTTGGGGAGACCCTATAGTAGGTTCTTACCCATTTGGGTAAGCCCCTGCATGAAGACAAAGCAATTTACTTACTTTTGTATTTTTGGTTCCAAACAGCTGAGCTCTTCCAGTGTGGTCAGCTCCAGGTTGGACGCATGGCACTGCAGATGAGCATTCGCCTCCATGGGCGAGTGCATGTCCATGTAGCGCTTGGTCGGCCGATCGAAGCACTCATCCTCGAGCAGCTCGTCGTGACTGGGAAGGGAAGGGAATGCCAGCCAGCGTCAGTTTCGATCTCGCCTGCTTCAGTAGCTTCAACTCACCTCTTCTCGTTTAGGCTCTGGCAGCTGCAGATCCTCGCCAGCTTCGGATTGCGTTCGCAATTGTCGCAGACTCCGACGCCGGAGTCGGCTATCTTGGACTGTTGCTCCTCGCCGTCGGCATCGCCCAGGCACTCGCGATCCGGCTCCTCCTCTGGCTCGTCCATGTCCTCCAGATTGCGACTCTCGCGCCAGCAGCTGCACTGGCTGCCGCCGGTGGCGCCCTCGAAGGAGCTGCCATTGCCGGAGCTGCAGCGATAGCTGCCCCGCTTGCTGCCCTGAGCCTGGGCCGGCGTGCTGCTGGCTGCTGGCAGTGTGCTGCTCCTGCGCACAGCGGGCAGGTGCTTGTCCAGCAGCGCTGTGGCATTCAGCTGCGCGGCGAGGCGCTGCAGCTCCTCCAGACAACTCGTCTCGCGCTGATGCTGCGTCAGCAGATGCAGCAGTCGTGCACCGCCCTCGATACGCTCGCGCGTCTTCTCCAGCTTCTCTGCGAATTGGTCCAGCGCCGTCTTCAGGTTCTGTGCGCTCTCGCTGAGCACGGCAATCTTATTGGCTGCCAAGTGCAGATCGCGACCCTTGGCCAAGTGTTTCTGCAGAGCACACAGATTAGAGCCAATCATGGAGAGCTTCTCTTCGACTTACCCTGGCTATGAAATAGTATTTCTCAAATTCCAGCTCTTGGGCCTTCAGCTGCGCCTCGGTCTCCAGCTGCAGCTGTGCGAATCTTTGCAAGGTTTCAGCACCGTCATTGCCCAGCCAAGAGGTGACCTACAAAGCGACAGACAACAAAATGAGTTGGCATTAAGTGTGGATGGAACCTTCAGAGACGCGCCCACGTCTGTGTCAAGGCTTCCCTCTCTCTCTCTCTCTCTCTTTCTCCTGACGAAAAGTGAAACTCATCGACGATCTAATTAGGCTCCACTTTACAAATTAAAAACCAATCGCGCACAAATCAAATCAAATGATTCCTCGTTGGGGCATTTCAGCGTTCCCAAAGGTATTGAAAGCAATAACAACAACAACAACAACAGCAAAGGCAGCAACAGCAACAACATTGACAACAACCACGAGCCAATCAACGATCTCACATTGATAATTTTGTAGCTCTAACCAATTTTTAATCACCTGCTGCGTCCAATTGAATTGATACAATCGATGATGATGATGATGATGATGATGATGATGCTAAGACTAAGACCCAACCTTAACTAACTAACCAGCTTCCCAGCTATTCAGCTAGTCAGCTGACGACGCGTGTGCCACGCCGCATTCACTTTCCGTTTTTGGTCTCTGTCTTTGTCGATCTTTGGCTTTGGAGATAATGCCCCTCAGTCAGCATCAGCAACGTTTTTGTTTTTGGGGGCATGTCCATGTCCTGCCCAATGAATGAAACTGTCTGCCTACGTCTATGGGGGCAGTGTCAAAGCTGTGCACCAGCTTCAGCCGCTGCTCCAGTTTCAATCAGGCTGACTCGGACTTCATGCGCTCATCAGATATGGCAGGCATGACCAAACCGACAAGCGTGCATATATGTATGTGTATATGTATATATGTGTATGTATAGACATGTACGATCGGGAATACAGGGTGTTGCAATAGCTCAGAACTGATAGAGGCACTGAGTGCCTTCGAAAATTGATAGCAAGTTCTCTTTTGGTGACGAAATAAAAAGTGCAGCTCATTTTTTGAAGTGTAAGAGCTGTTGGTAATTGATCAGAAAATTGAAAATATATGCAAAATATCTTAAGTGTTATTGATAAATCTAAAATCTGCACTTGGGAATGTAGCTATTGGGACAGCATTTTCTTTCAGTGTAAAAGCTTTTTACAACTGATTAGATATTTGTATAGAGTTATGTATATGTTATGGAGAGTTTTTTTTTTATGGTTATGGAGAATTTTTTGGAGTTGGAGAATTTCATGATTTAACATGAAATGACAGAAATATCTTTTGATATTATGAATGGATGGATACATAGTTTTAACATATTAAAAGCAATGCAAACAATAAATGACAAAAGAATTTTTAAGTATTATTGAAAACCATAAATTTAATGGAGTTTTGATAACTTCTACAGAATGAAATTTTGCTTTCAGAGACTTTGACGAAATGTTGCCCATTTTGTATATAACTGATAACTGATTATATTTTTTCAGTATCTTTAATCAAAATTTCATGTTGTTTCTATTTTTGACATTTTTTTAAGTTTTAAGCAATTTATATTTCAAATAATTTCTTTACGAAATTCTATTACAATTAAAAAAAAATTTTTTTTGATATTTTTACTGAAAATTGAAATTCTATAAAAAATTATAGATAGATAGAAATTATTTTAAATATAGCTAAAAATTCCATTTTTACTTTTCTAAGTGGAAAAATTATTGAAATATTCTTCTGTAAATCCTTATTTTAGTTATTGTTTAAAATACATTTCACCACACTTGGTTATCGTAGCTAACCTCTTGCAAAATATGCCGTAAAAATATGCCCCAAAAATCTTCGTTTAAAGACATTTTGAAAATTGAATTTTCGATCACTTTTTTTGCACTTGTTTTCGTAAGTATTTAGCAATTTTTGATTGTTTAATTAATCAATTTATTTTGTATTTTTGCACACCCTGTTTTAGCTTGTTGTTGCTGTTGTGTGCAGCCGGCTCAGTTGCTAGCATTGTTTACATGACTGAGCGCAAGGCCTTTTTTAGTTTTATTGGCTGATGGCATTTGAGAGATTGCCACACACACACAGACACAGATAAGCACACACAGAGTCAATAAGAGAGTCAATATAATAAATAAATTAATTGATTTTGATTTAGTAAATCGCTGCTGCAATGAAATTTGTAATGCCAGCGCCGATGCGATAAGATGCGACTGCAGCAGCCACCGATCGAACCTTACGAATGACGCGCAAGTGAAATCAAATGCAGGCAGAGGCAGCAGCAGCAGCCGCAGTCGCAGCAGCAGCAGCAGCATCACAAAATGGCCAAAACAAAACAAGAAAACTTTAACAAGTTTCAGTTGGTTGCACGTTGAGCTGGCTGATGAGGCTTCTCAGGCTGCTGTGGGTAACTGTAAGTGGCTGATGACTCACATAGTTGGCTATTTGGGCTGCCAAATGGTTGGCAGCTGTTTCACGCTCGCTGCCAGCTGACGCCGCCGATGCCGATGACGCCGGAGCTGCAGGGGAGGAGCTGCCGATCATAATGCGTACTGAGCTCGAAATGCGATAACAATTAATGCTGCCCGCTAAGCGCGACAACAGCAACAACAACATGCCACCAACGGCTCAGAATTGCGACTGGAACTCGAACTGGAAGTGAAACAATGAATTGGAATCGAAACTGAAAAGCGCTGCTCACTGCTCACTGCTCGCTGCTCATCGCCAACGTCGGCATCGCTCAATGAAATTCAATCAAATCCAAACAATTAGTCTGTGCAAATATATAATAATCAGGCAGAGGGCAGTCGCATTTGGCTGGCACTGGAAGATGTCGCTGGAATTGGAAGCCCAGAGCTGTTGTTGCTACTGTTGTTGTTGTTGTTGTTGTCGCTGCTGATGACAACCAGCAACAGGCACTGGCTAGGCCCTGCAAACATCATTATCATGTTGCTAACTAGCGGTGCTAGTTTAGCTACTTTTTAGCTGAAATACTAGCTTTTTATTTATTATGCTTAATAAGATTCTTAGTGGAAAGAGATTTATTATATGTTTAGGATTATATTTTTTATGTGGAATTTGAATCAGTTAATGGGGGCGTAAAAAACAAATATGTCATAGGAAGAGACTTTAGGAACTTTACTTTAAAATGTCACAGCAATACACAATTAATATAATATTACAACTTGTGACTATATATGCAATTTGTATACATGTAACAAAGATCTTTCAATACGCCTAATATATGGTACTTTATATAATATATATACATATATAAACATGTACGAATTTTGTTTTCTACAGCTCACTCGACTTGCTTGCTTTGGCAGCTATTGTGTTTCACTTTTAATTAAACTTCTTTAAAAGCCAATTGTTCAATACATATTGATTTGCAATTTCCTTTCAAGCTTTTGTGCTCTACTGAATAGAGCTGAAACATTCCAAATGGCTAACTCAACTTTAAGTGAAGGTGTGTCACAATAGTAAAATATATACTTGTATATAAATATATAGAGTCGTACAAGTTTATTGTATTCATTATTATTTGCATTCGCTAAAACTTGGCTATTTCTAGCCATATTTTCTAGCTAGTTCAGAGGCTGTCAGCTCTGTTGCTTTGTGTGCTTGTTGATTATGCTGTTGCTGTTGAATGTTGCCCTGCTGCAATTTGCTTAGCTAAGTAAATATGTGAGCTGCAGGCACATCTCCCGCAGCAACAGCAACAACAGCAGCAGCAACAGCAGCAGCAACAACAGCAGCAACAGCAGCTGCAGGGCCTGTTGCTGCAAGGCAGTGATAAGCTTTCGATTGGAGAGTCTATTACTCTATTATTCTATTTGCCAGCCGGTGGCAACTGTCGTTGGTCTACAGCGCTGCAGCGGATGTTGTCTTTTGTCAGCTTTGCTGATAACTCGCCCAGTTGACTGCACTCTCTATCACTAGACGGCGTGTGATGCGGCACATCATAGAGAAGCTGTTGAGGCTGTTGTTGTTGTTGTTGCTGCTGTTGCCGTTGGGTGTTTGCTGACATAAAACGCAAATTTAACGTGACAGTTTAACAAGTTGATCGCATGCGCCATAAAACACATGCAACACCTACAACAACAGCAACAGCAATAGCAACATCTATGTTGCGCATGCGTGGCAACTGTTGCTGCTGCTGCTGCGACGGCGGCAACTGTTGCTGCTGCTGCTGCTGTCGTGTAATTTACGCAAATGTCGCGTATTTATCTCGCAGCCATAAACATTTTTTAAGCCACAATATCGAATTTATTTTGACACTTTACAAAGTTGTCGCCATTGTCGAAGCTGTTGTTGCTGTTGCCAGAGCCGTTGCTGTTGCCGTTGCTGTTGCTATCTTAGAAAATTGCGACAGCTATTGGGATTTTCGGTCTGTGTCGGCTTCGGGGGTTCTGTTTCTATTTCTGGTCTTGGGTAATTTATTTGAAGTGCGTCTTAAATGATATGCGTTTGCCATTTGCTATTGCCATTTGCCATTGGCCATTCGCCAATCGCCATTTGCCATTCGGCCTGTCTCATTTCCAACTCGAGCTTAACTAATTTGTGGCTCTTTATGGTGGAGGCATATCTGCCAGCTGCTTATCTCTCTCCCTCTCTCTCTCTCTCTCTCTGTCTCTCTCCTTCTTCCTCTTTCTATGAACACTCTTAAGATGTTCTTATTTTAATCGCCATGTCGTGTAATTTGTCCGCAAATTTATGGCAGTTACTCAGAAATTATAGCGCCGATAACTAGCTCCAGATCGCTAAAGTGAGTGTGCTATAAAGCTCAGACAGAGAAATAGAGACAGAGAGAGAGAGGGAGAGGGAGAGTGAGAGGGAGAGGGCGTCAGAGTGGAGTTGGGGTAGATGCGTAGATAGTCTAGAACAGCTAAGTGACAGCTGTGTCAGTGTGTGTGTGTGTGTGTGCTCCAAATGAGACATCAAACATGAATGCGGTCTGTGAATGGCAACGCTTAAAGTGCACTGAAGCCTTAAATACAAAAAAGCTGTGGACCAATTCAAAAGAATAACACTTAGATATACCCTATGAAACTTGAGTGAATGGAGAGGGGAAGAGCCTTGCAGCGTTTGTTGAGTTTTGCTGCTGGAAA